CCGGGGAATGGCTATAAATCTGGACGACGCAGCAGCAGTCGATATTTTCCATAAACACTATCCGACGAAACCGGGACCTCTCAAACAAACCGGAATAACTAACCCTCGCAGGAGCTAGCGATTAAAAGGGGGCCTACTTTCACGGATCCGTAATTAGAATTTTAATACTAATTTTAATTCGTGATAAGATGAAGGGGTAGTTAAATAAAGACATCAATTTAATAATAGCTTCCCCTATACAATTAGTCGTGTAAAAAGTCATGTAAAGATATGCAAGAGAGTCATGAAGAGAAGGACAAGAACACAGCCATTAATGCGAAGATATTGACAAGAATTGACTACGATTAATTCCGGTTGGCAAAGGCTTCTACTCTTGTATATAATAGTTCGGCGTGAGAGAGATTTACTCCTCACGCAATGTCTTCTTTATTTACCCTTTACAATACATTTGTTCACCCATCTCTTCTTCGGGAAGACCATATATCCATTGCCCAGTTCTTCATCAGCAAGACCCACGTGTAACATCTACTGCAACTAGTTGCCCATTCATCTCTTCCTAGAGAAGACCAGTCATCCCTTTGACCCATTTATAATCTTCACTTACCACCTAGATCTTCACTAGGCTATACAACGCACCCCGTGGAACACTATCAAACCCTCATCCCTGAGACTCAAGTTGACGATTAGAACACTTACACTCAGATTTCATTTGCAGATACCACTCGATGTTAACCCTTATGGCGTATAACCTCTTCCGTTTATACCCACCACTGGGAAAAGCGTGAAAACCCTATGGTTATCCGAGTGTGCTTTCATCATTCCACAAGTACAATATCACCGCGAGAGAGAGTGGTGTGTGGGTCTGACTGGATTCGAACCTGCTTTCAGCTGTCTCGAATGAGGTAGGTGTTCAAGCTACCCAGTATCTACTTGGGAGAAAGGCCCGGATGGTGTACCACTGCACCATCCAACCCAGCATAGGGTGTATCGGGACATGAAATACAGAATATCCTTGTAATTTGGATTATCAATTACACTATCAATCAATTTCTTTTATGGCACATGCCTCAATGATGAGCTCCTCTACTCCAAGATATATCGCCATATCTATTTTGTCTTTTAGATATTAGATCGTCCTAGATCTATGAGAAGATACGCACATTAATGAGTACAAGTCACAGATAATTTATCCCATACTGCAGTATAAGAAAAACAGCCTATAGGGTATTTTTATTTTATCTGCTGTACATTGTACCGACGCAAAGTACAAGGATATGATAGTCGAGTCGGCCAGAGAGCTGAATACACTATGAATAATAAGAAAAGATATTCGAGTGCCAATGGGTGAAGTCTTTGCAGACTGTCCGGAGTCTCGACACTCCTAAACGAACCCAGCTAGCTAAAACGAGACTCGGCCACGACCCAGCGCCTGGGAAAGCTGAGAAAGGATGGCTGCATTTACCGACTCTTGGATTATACTCTCCAAGTTGCAAACCTCTCTCCTGTGAGCTTCATCATTTCTACGACTCATAATTCTTGGTAAAAACAGGAGTGATCACTTCTCTACTGCAGTAGTGAATTTGATCGTTGGTGTAAATTATGCATATGTATATCATTCTCCTCTCTGTCTTATTTTAACAAACTACTTGTCTCGGGGATATGCTGACTAATCATACAACTCAAACTAAGTGGCAATCATCCCAGATGCAAACGTCAGTAGCCTAATCCAATAGATTTAGATTAGATTAGATTTTATTAAAGTCTTATCTGAGTCTAAGACTATAGAGGACTTCTAGCTTCTAAATGAAAGAGACTAACAAATTTTGATAAATTCAACCATTTTAATTCCCAACATTTTCTTATAGATAGTGAGGAAATCCTAGTCCAATAAATCCAACTACAAAGCTAACATTCCGACAAGAATCACTCCTATACTTCCTAGCAGACTTTATTGGGTTTGTTAAAAATCCAGACACAGTCAGTATAATTTGCAGCAGATTTTAATTGCATATGCAGCTATCTAGCTATGACACAATATCAAATAAAAGTACATAATTGATAACTCGATTCACAAGAAGAGCACTCATGCCTCGGATTTCATTTGCAAGTACCACTGCGAAGTTATCGTGGCTTTCTCTTCACCCCAAGTCAACCCTCATCGGTGAATACTCACCCAGGAAAACGTCTCAAAAACCCTGAGTTATCCAGACAGGCCTCCGTCATCCGTTAACTTTTCTCTGCGCGAAATATGATCTAAGGCGTCCCCTTCCCAAGTGGAGTGGGCACCCGGGCTACTCAAACCATACCGGAGAACACCACCAGGAGGCGGATCACAGCACCTTCCATCGTCGGCTTATTTTTATAGTGTCTGCTGCACTCTCGCAAGCGAAGTCTTGGCGCGCACAAAGCTCAATTCGTAAAACTCTTGCCAAAATTCGATATTTCACGCCCGTTGAGACTGTATCTATCCTTTGCATCATCTTATCAACTTGTCCTGATCCCTCCCACGTCGATTTCAAAGAACTGTCTCCCAGATTTGTGCGCCACGCTTTATTTCCCCTGTTCGGTGTAAATATCGGCGTGGGCGTGTATTTGGTGACCAGCTGAGGCCAGAGAAAGTCGACAAGAAGTATGGTCATTGGAATGAGGATGTACTAGGTCGTACTTATAGGCTTGACGAGACTTAGGTAAGAGTCAAACTCGTTGGGAGCGAAAAAACGACGTGGAGGAGTAATTTGGATTTTTGCTTCGCGGGCCAACTTCTTTGATACTGCGAAATTTGACCGAACTTGGAACTGGAAGAATATTTCACTCCCAGGTTCGTAGAGGACATCGCGTACAGGTGCTCAGTCTTGCCCTCCGAAATTTGAGTGTGAGTGTGAGTGTGAGTGTTCTAAATGTCAAAATGAGTCATCCTGCTTAAAGCACATATCTTTCGATTAGAACCTGCATGGACCTCTAGGCGCCAAATCAGGACAATTGAATTATTTATTTAATTAATACTCGTCACCTAGCCACACATTTCCAAGCGTCACTTAGTTGTAACGCTTCAACCTCCTGACTAGTAGTGCCGTATCGTTCAGCTTCATCTACCCCTCCTCTTGCAGCCTTGCCGAAACAACTTTCAACATTACACTTAGGCATTCGCCTGAGCTTAAACAATGGTCAAACTGTAGTACTAAGCTTCTGACCAAAAGTCATCCAACATGACGCCTCACTACAACCGCATGGTAAGGAAAAACTCCGGTCCACAAAAATAGTTTGATCAAATATTGGATCTGAGAGTATCATGCGCTCTCGGATTTATGGGGAAAGCTGTTTGTGGATGTGTAGACTCGACGTCTCGAAGATGCAGAAAACGGAATCCATGGTACGAGAGGCAGAAAAACACAAACACATGGCAGCATCACATGGCTAGAGAGGTCATACTACGTTATAGATCTGCACCCCACACGCCCCGGAAAATCGTCCGGAACCTCGTTTCTACCCCACATGGATCTGATCTCGCCCCACACTAATCTCGGCTCGGCTCGGCCAACGACCAGCTACCAATGTAAAACTGTCCACAGACGGACTGGAATTTTCACCTAGCTACTACTCAACCGATTCATGAAACTGGCTCTGTGCAACAGCGACCTTTGGCTACCAGTGGCTTTAGCCGATCGAAGTTTATCCTTCTGAGCGACAAAAGTTAACGGTTACAGTCATCGCGTGAAGATAGGCTAAGTACTAGAGATCATCAACTCACGTGGGGGACTATTCTCAACACCTGTCAGTGGTTTCCCCTAAAAACTCCCAGCTCTCACTGTAGAGTCTGCAGAGTCTACAGGGCCGAGATTGGGTGACAAAGTCTTCACTTCGACGAGGATTCCCGATCGCTTTCGCGGTCTGTATCGTCTTCGTCTCTCAACACATTCCCCAAACACCATTATCATGAAGCTAACCACGATCAGATCAGATAGTAGGGTCGGAGCCCTACTAATCAACAACCCTTGATCATGGAGGAAAAGCCATCCGATGAGATTTCGGAGCGTATCCAGCACCAGTTCCGGAGATGGCGGATTGGATCAAGTCGGCCTTAATTGTTACAAAGAAGGGAGATATAGATGAATATGCGTACCTCATGTGGTCCCGATGTCAGGCCTCGCCTGGCCAGGGCTGCAGGTCTTTGAGACTTTTTCCCGCGCACGCAGTTTCCATTGCTACCATTTTATTTTTTGGGTGGGAGGTTCTGTGGAAAAGGTGGCTGAATTCCATGAGCAAATGTTGAGCTGAATGGCTACTCATCACGGGCAATATATCAATGATCTTTCAAGAAACATGAGAGGCAAGGAGCACTGTACAAGGTGTGGCCTGGGCTAGAAAGGAGTCCAATGTACTAGATAGTCTAACACTCAAGTAGTACAGTAAACATACCTCTCTCTCTCTCATCAACTCACGTGATATTATCAAGAGCTAAAGCATTGACGTGCGACTTAACTACCCAACTTATCATATCATCTGTTCTCTACGGTTGAAAAGGCTCTGGCTACAAGGTAATTTTGCAATTCTTGATTCAGTTGCTCAGTCGTTATCCTGCGCTTGCTAAACGCTCCTATATCGAAGTTTTTTCCATGCAAGCGACTTCGTTGGACCAACCATTTAATTGAAAATTCAAGACGTTCACTTGGGATAAGCAGGTTGAGTAAGATGGTCATGTCATGAGCGAATCGCTCTTATAATTACCAGAGACAGTGCATTTCAAATTACATTCCATGACCTAGCATAGCCAGCCGACCACCCCATAATTGCTTTATTTATTTGACCTATTCCATTCTTTCCGCATTCCAGAACTCGAGACGCTTACCGCGTGAAAAAAAACAACTGAAAAAAAGATAGGGTGGATTCGAATGTCCTAGTAGTAACACAGGTTTGTACGGAATTACAGGCCCTTTTCAACCTCATAGACGGGTTATATCTGATTTCGTGCAATAATGGGCTAGTTTTGCATACTTATCAGTTTAGTGACCATAGTTGCCACCCCACCCTCCTCTCTGTTGCTGCTGGCTATTTCCATAGTAATTTCCACCCCCAAAGCCTTGATAGGCTCCATATTGGCTATTTTGGTGGCCCTGTCCAGTTTGGTGCTGTGATACAGCAGTACCTAGCCCGCCATATTGGCTTGTAGTTTGGTTTCCGTGAATACCGTGTGCCGGTTGTTGGATGTGTGCTGGATAGCTACCATAGCTAGCCTGCTGTGATTGCGGGGGAGGCAGCGGAGCCGTGTTGGTTGCAGATCCAGGGCGAGCAGAGTGAAGAGAGGAGTTCTGTCCGTTGCCTGCTTTTGTATCACTAAAAGACTTCAGATCATCACCACTTGGCTGTCCAGCTTGTTGACTACTATAGTGCTGTTGGGCTTGTCCTTGATATGAGGCACGGCCGAAAGTGTCGTGACTGGCACTAAACGCTGCACTTGCTGCAAGAGCTTGGGGGTTTTGAGAAGACTGCGCTGATCCTACTCTGGCGTATTCCGATAGACCTCCCAAAGCACTATCACGACTGTGTAAAGATGAGACACCGAAAGCTGCAGCTCCAGGTGATGCTGAGTGCTCATATGGAGCCCCAGGAGAAATGCTGTATCCTTGATATTGTTGATGAATTCCTACCTTGGCCGTATATGGCCCACCAGGATAGTTTCCAGCTCCATAACCAGGATATTGATTCATATACGCAGTATAATATGGGCTACTGTAATAGGGATGAGCGTAGGGATAAGTTCCCTGAATTTGGGGCTGTTGGCCGGCCTGCGGCTGACCTGCTTGAGCAACTACGCTGGTTTGAGGGGCTTGGGTGACCGGATTAGGGGTAGAATGACCACTATTTTGTCCATCTCCTGCCGTCACATAACGAGATTGAGCTTGGTGAGATATATTCTGGGGAAACTGTGAGGATTCTCCGGGAGGGTTGTTGTATCCATTGTAAGAGCCCTGTTGCGATCCTGGACCATCTTGGCTTTGAGCCGCCTGATGCTGAGATGCATATTGTTGTTGGTAGTAGTTGTTATAGGCATTGCGCTGCTGTGGATCGGCGGTATAGTAGGAGGGATAATCCTGATGAGTAGATGAGAATGCACCAGTATGTCCAGCAGGAGGCTGAGTTTGGGCTTGTTGGCTAGGGTAACCTTCGAACGGACTAGGACTTTGTGCATGCGTTTGTTGGGTGTATGAATCGTATTGCTTGTCTGGAGCACCACTTTGTGCATATCGACCATAGTGGCTGTACTGACCATTTAGCGGCGGCATTGGTTGGGAAGAAGCTGGGATGTTGTTCAGAAGAGCTGGTGACGAAAGTCCAGGCACAGCTGCTGAGAAATTGGTGGCAGGCAAGACAGGTGGTTGCTTAGGGGTTGGTAACGTCTCCGGAAGGGAGCTTTGCTGATGAGCAGGTGGTAAAGCAGCTCTTGGAGCAACAGGTGAATGCTGCGGTGGTTGTGCGCGTGTCTCGGCTTCCTCGCGATCTCCGTCTACGTCGTCCTCTTCATTACCAATGAGGCTGAATGCCCCAAATTGGACTGCAGTTCTATCGACCTCACGGTTTCCAGGCATTCGTACTGCCTCCTCTTGATCAAATATACGCCTTTGATAATTTTGTGCCCGTGCTGATGTGTTATTCAACTTATTGGTAGATGAATGAAAGCCACTGCCAGTTGAAGAAATACCTATATTTTGTTGTTGTTGCAATGCTGAGTAGGGAGTGGAGCCGTGAGTCCCTCTTCTGGGATCCCAAGAACTAGCTGCTGTACTAGCTGCTGTCACAGTTGGTACTGGAGCCGAAGAATCTGGTACTTGTTCGAGGTTATCCATTGTGAGCGCGTCCTTAGATGGGCAAATGTTTGCCTCTGCTGTTTCCAAGGGACCTGGTTCCGCCGCTGTCGTTGTAGCTAAAGTCTCAACAGGGGCAGGCTTGGGTAGAGATTCCATTGGTTCTGCAGTGACTGATTCGCAGGGCTCTTCTGGCTTCACTGAGTGAGCTGGTCTATGTATTTATTAGCATTGACGTTGCGGAAGAAGGTCTAATCATACATTTCTGCTACTGGGATTAAGACCTTTTTCGCCACTGGCGCAGGAGCAAATAATGTTGCCCAAGATTTCTGTACACCGTCGGAAGGAATAGTTGTGGGGGGTTTAGTTGTTGAGGATTGTTTCGCAGTACTTCCCCAGTTATCTTCGGAAATCTTTGATGAGTCAAAATTATTGCTGAAGGGCTTACTGTCCCATGCTGAAGCGTCTCCTGAAGCTGAAGAATTCCATGCGTTTGATTCGCTAGTTGGAATCGAGACACCTGTAGCTTCCTTCCGTGATTCATTTATAGGCGCATTCAATGCTCCACGTCCCCTTCCTCCTCTACCTCTTTCATTTGTTCGACTACGACCTCCTCGACCACCGCGTGTTGGCCTTACTTGATTCGAGCTTTCGTCTAGAGGAGGACTTGTTTCTTTAATCTTAGAGCGCGATCGATCTTTTTTTACCTTTGATACTTCTCCCCACTGCGAGATAGTACCTGGTTGAGCCAAGTTAGTATTTTTCAACGGCCAAAACTTAATTGAGGAATAAGATCCTTCGGGAGATAGACACACCATCAGTTATGCGCTCGACTGTGAGTTCTAAGTCTCCGTCCGTTTCTCGAAGAGCGAAGACTATATCTTCATCTGTCCAATCAGGGAACATCTCCTTGATTATAGAAACCTGGCTACTGTATTCTTTTTTTAATTGACCTATTTCGCCTTCTTCTTGAGCCGATGCCTGTGATGTATCTGCCTTTTCTCCATTACTAGCGTGTGCCCTGCTACCACGACCTCTGGAAGAAAACCCTCCACGGCCACCACGAGCTGAGCCCCTGCCACGGGAGGCAGAAGGTCTTGATTGAACCTCAGACATCTTATCTATTAATTTTCAAAATTTTATAAGGAATGGGTAGAAATGACAATAAGGTGTAAGGGTTGCGTTGGAAAGATGAGGTTGGTGCGTAACGTTGTTCACTGCGTAAGTTCCGGGTGAGAGTTCGCGTACTATAAACTTGGAGATTTCCAAGTATAGGGTATACGATCCACGCGGCGGGTCGACGAAACCATGCAAAAGTAAGCCAGTTGACGCGATGGACTTTTGTATTTGTTTTTGAGCCTCAAATATGTTGATAGATAAGGAAGTAGTCTCAAAAGAATGCCCCTTTTTTGGAGCAACCCTTAGCGTGGGTTTATCTGTGCATGTATCACATGACGAATGGAATTACCTAAGGATTCCCCACCAAACACCGTTGCTAAATAAAGATATCATTATCGGACACACTAGTCACGAACGTTGAAAGCCGTGACAATTTAGAACTAACCATGTACCGATCCCCTAGCTTTCGGTCAATTGAAAAGATCTCTACTCTTATCGGACAAAGTATTAAGAATCCTATAGTGCTCAACTCTCAAGAGTCAAAGCAGCTTCTCAACTTGTTAACTACGACGTTCCGCCGACAGCTTGATATTGCGCACTCAAGTCCTGAAAAAGCTCAATTCCATCCAAATAACTCATCAAAATCTATCCCTCAAACGCAGAAGCTTAGCAACATATCAAATGCAAGGAATAACTCTGTAGATGCCCTACTCTACCAAGTCTTGACAAATCCAGTTCTTGCGAACTCTAAAAATACATATGCTGGAACAAGCAAATCTACACAAGGCCCCACGGATTATTTTGACAAAGCTGTTGCTGCTGGACTAATGGATCTAAAGCACGCGGGTGCTTATTTACACGCTAGACTGACTCAAATAATATTATCTGACACGAAGGACATTCGATCTGCTATGAAGGCTTCTGGGGTAGGACTGAAAGTTTTAAAATGGCTCACATCTAGTAATGACTATAAGGAACTACTTTTTTTAAAGGATGAAAAGTTTATGCATCTTTTCGTACGCTATCTGGTGGCAGAAGGTCTTCAAGCATATGTATGGGTATGGGCTCATAGAAGATTGCAAAGTATTCCGTTAAAAAAATCCTCTCACTACAGCGACAGTTATAAATCTGAATATCGTAGCGCTATATTACCGTTAATGGTATTAATCAAGAGTGAAATTTTTAAAGCTGCCAACTTGAGCTCCGCATACATGTGTCTACAGAAAGCTGATGAATACCTGCAAAATTTATCGGCTCAGAGAATGACGACTCCTCTCTGGTTACCAGGTTTATATCTTTTCAGAAAAACAATATTTTCGTTCGATGAAATGAAGCCTCCAAGTGAATCTGCATTCGAATCTTTTATAGCCCTGGTACCCCGAATTACTACCAAACCTCTCCGAATCTACAGCCATTTGTATTTACTACATCCTACAAAACCTAGTGCTGATCTAGCTCTGAAATACCTCCGTCAGCTGAGTCAGACAGATGTTTGTGATCTTTCACTTCGAGAGCGTAAAGAGATTACACAACTTATCGTTCGGACTGCCGGGTTCCTACACGATAATGGATCTACTAAAAATGCTGATTGGGTTATGAATTCAATGCGATCTTGGCTCCCACATCACCAAGGTTCTGAAGCCAGAAAACACCAGGAAAAGTCAGAGTTGTCGAGACTTTACAGCATTGATAGTCTTGAACTGGTGAATATAGAGCCAGCTTAGGAGTACTGGTGAATTTTTCTTTATCTCCATAAAAATGCACCTCAAGGAACTTGAAGTATGAAAGATGCATAAACTTATTAGATTTCCTTGATATAAATCAAACTATTAGTTTGAAGCCATGCGCTTTTCAAACCATCTAGTTTAGCAAAAGTATACTATAACCCTGGTAGACTCTCTCTGAAATAAGTGGTCGACTGCCATTTAATTTTTATTACTCCTTGTTAAGCATCAAGAGGAGTATGAACTTGGGACTTTCCAAACACCTAACCGCCAATTAAAAATAAAGGACTTATTCAAAAGATGTGTTAAGAAACTACCTTAGAAAGTAGCTTAAAATTATCATCTTCGCAGTGAATAAATACAAAAAGATGACATCGGACTCCTTTGAACTTATAACAGCTATACTTCACGTCTCAAATAAAGTTTGAGGCTCTCGAATATATCATAAATCTAAAAAAACTGCAGATTTTAACGCAAAATAATCTAACTTGCGTAATTATTGATGGCTCGATTAGATTCACCTTATTATTATCTCATAAGTAATTAATGCCTCTCAGACATCCTACTCAGATTTTAGAATGCGAAAGCTTGGATTATGGCAAATCGGCGGAAGATGAAGAAAATAAATATTAAATAAACTCTGGAGTAATCTAGGACAAAAAGAGGCTCAATTGACAACTAAAACAACTCAACGTACGATAATCGTTTTCAATAAAATAAACAAATCTATACACGCTAGATACCTTGCTTTACGAATGGGTACTGGCTTCTTTCGGTACTAGGAGATATTAAGCAAAGATTTCTCACCACGAAAAAAATTTCAAAAAATAACTAACTCAGTAGTAAATGCTAGCTCAGGGTAAGTGAAATTTTAATTTTTTCTCTCTGATCTAAATGTGAGAATCACTCTATATTTAAAGCGAGCTATCAAACCGAAGCACAACTAGTGGAATGACGGTAGACAGTTCTCTTGAGTTATTTCATCCGAGCTCTGGAAATTAGACCTATGTTTGAAAATTAGCTCGATATTTATGATGTAATTTAGGAATTTCAGAGAAAGCATCTTTGCTAGATAATAGGTCCAGGTTAGGCCTTGGAACAAGTTCAGAAGTCTTTCAAGAAAACCATATCTGTAAATATGGCTAGATACTGAAGTAAACTGGCAAATTAAGATGGATATTTAAGAGATTTATTACGAATTGATATAGTCACATTATGAGGAAAGTTTTGAGTCTTAAATGAAAGTTATATGTTTCATCACGGCGATTATTGATATAGACTCATCTAATATAGGATTCTGGCCTATAGTAACAAACGACCCCAGAGACATGTATTTGAGCACATGGTCGGATTTCGAAGAGAATCAATATCTCTCTCAATCACTATCATCTAAATTTATTTCTCTATCTATAGTTGCATAGGAAAATGTTACTATGTCCTGATCCACTGGGCCCTATAGCTTCTGACAAAGTCTAAGTGATAATAATGGAAGTAACCAAAAATTATACGCTGAGCCTAAACTGGTAGGCGTGACGAGTTCCCAAGAAATTCTCTTAGAGCCGTGAAGCAACTGTGACTCTGACTCATTGAGTGCAGATAGCTTTAGATGTTCCATCCATTTTCAACTATGCAAGAATTTGTAGAGACTGGAAACAAGAAATAAATGTTGAGATTTTGTCGAGCTTTTAGAACTTGCCATTTCAAGATGAGATTTTGAAAATCTTAACTGAAGCCCTGAATCACCTTTGGGTAGAGACGAGCGAATCCAGTAATGATTGGCAGGATTTGTGCCTAACTTATTGCAACAGTTTGAGCTAGTTACTGACAATTGAGTCAGTCGATAGAAATTTTCTTACGTCGCAAACAAAGCTAGAAAGCTGTCACATATTTTAAGCTCTCTGTTTTTAATATCTCCCAGATTTCATCTCAGCATCAACTTTGTCATGCTTAACACAGAACTAGAAATTATTTTTAGGCCTCCAAGATTGCTGGTGTTTGGTATAAGCCGGTGAATGTTTTCTCCCTGGGATGTAGAAGGTGGATCGAATTTCTTGTTAGGCTGAGCCGCAGCATCAGCTTCCTTCATGCCTTGTTTCTTGAGAGAACAAAGCCTTTATCTAATGATAGTTTCAGACCGTACTGTCTGCTCTAAAACAGGGCCGAATTACTTCGTGGCTAGAGGCCTATTTTCCTATTTGGGAGCAACAGAAGCGGCTCAACAACCTTCTGGTAATTGACACATCTAGCCTTGGCGAGAAAAGGCATCTGTACTATCTAGAGCTGCAGATACTCGCATGTTTCTATGCGATCTCGGCGTAGAAAGTCTTGAGTTCGCGCCTTGCATCTCCACAACGAAACAATAGTCAATTTTTATTGGGTCCATGTTGCAATGAAGCTTTTCACTCAAAGATTAAGTTCTAGTGAAGAGCGAAGTCGTAACTAGACTCGATCACCGAAAGCTCCACTATAGCGCCGGGTATGAGACGTAGCATCCATGATTTACTAGGTATATCGGCTAGTGGGATGTGCTTTGAATATCTTAGTATTAAAGAGATAATTGTAGAGTGCCGCATCCGCCTCGTAACTTTTTGTATTATCTGCAGGGAATAGATAGCTTGGCTGCTGGAAAGCTGTTTATAAGGGCGGATCAAGGCTTGAGTCATGCGAAATCCAAAAGACCGTAAAGTTCCACGCCATTACACATCTTCGGGTGATGAAACAGCGATGATTCTTGTAATCAGACACATGCAGTCGAAATGTAATATAAATCACATAGTTCTTTTAAAATATTAGGCTTTGATAGATAGTCAATCATGAGTGGACAGCTTCGCGGCAAAAATAACTTCTTGGGAAGCAGGATATGCTAATGGAGTCGGAGGTGAAAGTGTCAATTCACTAAAGAAATTGTGACATATGGAAGCAAGACACACCAGTCGCCCGGGCCCAAGTGCCACGATAGCTTCAAAATATTTGCGGAGGAAACCTGCTGTTTTGATAGCCAACCTGCCCACTCATCCACTGCTCTCAGCGGGGATCAGATAAACTAGTCATTGCCACAACGCATGACACGAAAGGGAACGAGGCGAGAAGTGTCGATTCTCTGAGGAAATTTTTCTATACTTGGGTTTTGGGTTGAAGGATGGAGTTTCGATTTCGGAGTCGGAGTAGGTTGTGTCTTCTGAGTTATAATTTACCTTCTACTTTTTCTGTAGCGGGTCTCGCGGTTGGAATGAGTTAGGCCTGTTAGCAGTGATCCCCGCCGGCTCCACCAGTCTTGTACCGATAGTGGACCTAGAGCTTTAGCTTAGGAGTTTAACATAAAAAACAAAAATAATACACCAGTCGCCTTCGCCAAAACTAAGTACGCATGAAAGGCATTGGGTAAATAGTACTGGTGTATACCCGTCATTCCTGTCCCAAACTCGGCAATAGCAGTAATAGTCTCGCACAATTCTGTATGTTCTGAGTCGCATATCGGTATCTCCTAACCATCACTTATTCCTCAACTAAAACTTAATGCTACTCAAGGCCGGGATGCCAAGGGGAAATGATGGGGTGTACAACGTCGTAGTAGTGCACCGCGAGAGGATCTGCACAAGTGTCGGGGAGCTTCGTGTCAAGGGGCTATGGATGCAGGTGGACGGCTTACGGCCCATTGGTACTCATCATGCCGAGGTCACGCGTCACTAACACAGGCACGCGTCGCATGCGTCCCCAACTTGACGTTGTTCTCAACGTCGTGACCGTTTTACCAGTGAGTAATCGCGACTAATGGAACGCCCTACCACGACTGTATCTACGGCTGGACAAGAAACCGTTCTGGGGGTGGCACTCACGAACAACTGTGATGGATGTCGCGATAACCAGCTTATAAATGAACATCCAAGTCGGCCAATACATGCACGCCTTACCAAATCCTTGTGTAATTCATTCAAGGTCATAGTTCGCAGGGCGGCCTATGTCCTGTGGCAGATAAACAGGTGTCGATCGGAAGATCGATACACTGCTAGCGTGTAAATCAGTAGATTCGGAATCAACTTCGTCTTTACAGATACGGTGTGATCATGTCGATAAATTGGCTTTGTGGCGTCGCAGGGCTCCCCGACAGTGATGTTTGGCCGAAGGACGGATTAAAACGCCTGCATTACATGTGCTGCGGAAAATTTGATATCGGATCGGCTGCATACTACTGCCTCACCGATCACTCCTAACCCAGATAAGGCGACACTCCATAGCATTCTTAGCACTATCATAGAGGTAGCATCTTGTCAAAAAACTGAGAGTTTGGAATCTACTGAATCTTTTATTCAGAATCATTGGGTATTGGGTATTTGAATAACACATCCTCTCGGATTAACTCTCTCGAGCTTTGATATCTCAGTAAAGACATGGTGTGTGTTTTGTGTGTGTGCTTTCATCGTACTTCTTCATTCTATGACTATCTAGCACATTAGGCTCCTCTCTGACCCAAGCTGCACCTCGTATAGTGCTCCTTGCATCTCATGTTTCTTGGAAGATTATTGATATATTCCCCTTGATGAATAGCAATTCAGCTCAGTATTTACCCGTGTAATTTGGCCACCTTTTCCGCGGAACCTTCCATCCAAAATAAAAATAAAAATAGTAGCAATCGATACTTGTTGCGCGGGAAAAAGTCTCGAAAAAATCTGCGGCCCCAGCCAGGCGAGACCTAGACACCGGGACCACATGAGGTGCGCATATTCATCTATATCTCCCTTCTTTGTAACAGTCAAGGCCGACTTGATCCAGTCTACCATCTCCGTATCGGTTGCTGGGTACGCTCCGGAATCTCATCGGATGGCTTTTCCTCCATGATCAAGGGTTGGCGGTGAGAAGGGCTTCGACCCTACCATCTGATCTGATCGTGGTTAGCTTCATGATAATGGTGTTAGGGGGGCTGTGCTTAGGAATGAAGACGATACAGACCGCGGAAGCGATTGGGAATCCTCATCGACGTGAGTGCATTGTTACCCAATCTCGGCTCTGCAGACTCTACAGTGAGAACTGGAGGTTCGTAGGGGACACCGCTGACAGGTATTGAGAATAGTCTCCCACAAAGGACATGGTGTTTGGGAGTTTGTGATGATATGATGGCACGCGTGAGTTTTCTTATCGATATCTAGTCAGATTTCCAATTTACTGGAATTTCACGCCAGCAAAAATCATGCAATTCTATGATACTGGGAACAATTTCCATGGTTAGGCGAAGACCTGACCAGGGCTCTCAAACAAACAGCTGGTATATATCACGCTTGTGACTCCTCCTTTGGAAGCTCTTCTCTAGTTAAACTCAATTTTCCAAACAGTTCTATATCACTTCACAGTCATTATACGCTCTAGCACTACACTCAAAATTCACAAAGTTCATAAACAGCGTCAGTGATATAAGAGGAGCTTTCAAAGATGAAAAAATCCATGTGCAGTGAGGTTTTGATAGATGTGCTGGTATTTTATTTAGCTAGATCTCAACTGGGAGAACCAGTGTGACAGAAACCGAGTTGGTGATTAATGAATCGATTTATTAAAATGTTTGAGGTAAAAAGACAACTAGATACTAATTACAGGTATTTATAAGGATTGGTGACCTTCATTAATTTCCAGACTGATGACTTATCCTTAGGCACAATACTTACTACCCAGCCACACGTTGTCAGGTGTAAATTAGTTGAAGTAATGCTTTGACCTCCTTACTATTAGTGCCATTTTGTTCAGCTTCATCTATTTCTTAGCATCCGGCCTTGTCGTAAACATTCTCATTAATACGCTTAGTTGAATACCTAAGCTTAAAAAACTGTCAAACCGTAACAACCGGAAATTTAGTCGCCATTGCAGTATCTTCAAAAAAGGCTAGAAAAGATTTCGCATCCTAATCAATCCGCACACATAAAAAGGCCAGGGAATTCATGCCACGGTTTTGAGCTCCTGGAGAAAAACGATTGTTTGCAGGTAGGAATGGGATATTTAAAGGGCTGCAACACAGTCAGGAATACAAAATGAAAAATTCGTCGAGGGGTTAAGGATGCTCTAAACTTAAGAGGCGAGCCAAATGAAATCTTGTGTAGAGCAAACTGTAGGTTTCGATATTCATGAAGGACAAAGACTGAACACCTGTCCATGGTATATGTGTGTTGTTGTTTTAATAACATCCTGAGCTAAAGTAAGAGTTGTTCGTCTTACTAAAGGTCCAGGACCGGTGGAGCCAGCAGGACTCTCTATTGTTTTCCCACTGCCTAACTAGTTCCAACCTCGTGAATCGCTGTCAAGGGCGCAGCTGATTAAAACGGAAGCCAAATCCCACGAAAATCAATAACAACTCCGAGAAAGAGAAGATTCCTCAAATTTGGACTCAAGCAATGTGCTCCTCGCACATTCCCTCGTCCGTCACAACTTCTAAATAACAACTTTCTCAATCTCTATGAGAGCAACTTATGGGCTTTCAGGTACCATTGATACAGCCGGGATCCTGCCATGTGTTGGTGAATGCTTCAAAAGGCATTTTCGAGGTCGCTAGGCCCTCAATCTTCTTCAGACTTCAGAACTTCGAAGCTCTATCCCACTGCCGTAGAGACGTCTGTTTTTAGAGGCGATAATTGCTGCTTCAGCCCTTTTGGTTGCAGTCCTGGCTTGTCCTACCGCCGCCAACCTCTCCTGCGCGATGTAGGGAATCTGCGCGAACTGCTCTTTTTTCACCGGTCCGGTCTTTCTGAGTCTAGCTTGGCAGTCCTGAAAATCCGATCGGTGAAGTCCCCCATAGTCGCGACATCCAGAGGGCAAGACTGAACACCTGTACACTGTGTCCTCTTCGAACCTGGAAGTGAAATATTTTTCCAGAGCCAAGTTTAGTCAAATTTCGCAATACTAAAGCAGTTGGCCCACGTGGCAATGATTCAAAATACTTGACTATGTCAATTTTTCACTCCCAAAGAGTCCGAGTCATACCTAAGCCTCACCAAGTCTACATGTACGACCTATTACATCCTCATCCCAATGACCACACCCCTTATCGACTTTCTCTGGCTTCAGCTGGTCACCAAATACACGCCCACGCCGATATTTACACCGAATAGGGGAAATAAAGCGTGGCGCACAAATCTGGGAGACAGTTCTTTGAAATGGACGTAAGAGGCATCAGGACAAGATCAAAACATGATGCAGAGGATGGGTGTGAGATCTCAAATTTTGGCAAGGAAATTTACACATTGAAGAGTATTATTGTCACGGTTTCAGTACAAAATGGTTGGGCGATCTTGTAAGTACAGTATATTAATTATAATTCTCGGGAGAGAGAATTCCTCTATCTCAAGACTACATATATATACATTCTAAATTACTGCCCTTCAAGATGATTCTCCCTGTGACCAGAATTATTGAGACTCTTCTACAACTACCTAGAAGGTTCTCGGTACTCCTGTTATCCTCATGAACCTTCAGTGTGTTTCCAGAAGGTTCACTGAGAATATTCGAAGTTCTGTGGCTTCCGAGACCTTCCCCGAATATTCCCCTTGTGTCATAGCCTGCGCTATCTAGCGTAGGCTACAGGAGTGTTTCGGCTTAACAGCCGTCACAATTATGCGCGCCAAGACTTCGGTTTCAAAATTACAGTTGACACAGTTAAATTGAGGCGACTATGGAAGGCACCGTG